GTCAACCAGGGGCAGGTTGTGGGCTGCGATTGAACAGGGCGTCGATTTCACCATACGCGCTCGAATGACAAATGAACGCCATTTAGACTGGGCTTATATATTCCTCCGACAGGCTAGTGTGACCCCGGGAAGGATCACGTCTGACTTTTGCGCCATGGACGTTGACCGATGACGTCGAGTGAGAGGAAATCGGGTGCGACTCTGCAAAGAGTTTGCGGAGCGGATGTGACGGGGGACGGAATGAAATCACGGCCGCTGGGCATCCATGCCCGACGACAAAAGGACCAGAAAGAAGCACCTCCGTCGCCGGCCCCTTTGTTGCGTTAGCGCAGCACCAACTCCCCCTCCAAGAAGTGGGAGAGTGATCTGAAAAGACTCCAGCGTGGGCGGCATTGTCACGGCAATGCCCGGCCGTTGCCGTTTCATCATGCGGCTCCCCTTCCGGACGCCCCCCCCACCCCCCTCCCCCCCAGTGTCTTTCTTTGACATTAATTCGTCAGCCACGTTTTGCAAGCATTTCACAATGTTCGGACATGGCAATGTCGTCATCGGTGGAGCCTCATCGCGAAAGCGCCGCACTTTGCTTGTAACGCCCGCCGCGTCGTCCCACTCACTCTTTCCCGTCAGCGGCCCGTAAATGAAGTCACGCTTTTGGAATGGAGCAGATGTGAACCAAAGGGAAGTAAACATCTCGCCGAGGCACGAATCGCACGGACGAGCCTTTCGCTCCGTTCGACAAGCCGGAGTCAAATGTCGCAAGGCGTTTTCTTGCCAAAGTAGGACAGAAAAGAATCCTAACTAGATTCTGTCAATTCCGAGCGACAAACCGTTGTCATCACATACGCAAGAGAAGGTCGAACAGTTGCCGTTACGTTTCACAACCCCAAGTATCCTTCATACCGAACGTACTCTCTCATCGTCGTCTAAAGTGGAGCCGCGTCGTGTCGGTGCCTCCTGTGATGCGGGGTGGGCGCCGGCGCAGCGACATTGCGCAATGGCACCTCAATATACTGTACACACGCCTGTGTGTGTGTGTGTGTGTGTGTGTGTATATATATATATATATACATACACACACACACACACACACACACGTTCTGTCACGTGCAAACCGTATTTTAAAAAAAACTGTGTGAAAGTAAAACTTTCACATGTTTTCTACACGCGGAAGAAAGTGCTCACATCCTGTCGTCCGACAAGATGAGGTTTCAGGTGGTCCGTCAGTTTCAATGTTCTCACGCATCAGATGCTTCGGTGACCCGCGTTGACCCGGCGCACGTTCATCAGGCGCCGCTCCTTCAAGCGGCAAACGCCAAAGGACATCAAGAGATACCATTGACTCTCGAGTCACCAAAGTGCGCACTTCCAAGCGAGTGAAGTTCAAGTTTATCTCGGCGACTTCGACGCGCGAGCAAGCCTCGGCTTTCGCCGCGTCACCTCACGCAAACAAATGCTCACTTGTGCGCCGCAGATTCCAGAAAGGAATGCGAATCGGAGTTGCGTGAGAGACCGAGGTCGGCCGCGAAAACAATGCCCTGGGTAAAGTGCTCCGGCGCGCTGCTTTCTTTACCTGCTGCCGTCATCATCCAAGCGGACAAGTAGACTCCGAGACAAAGAGCCTTTCTCAAGGAGGACATATTGCAACAGCACGTAAATTCCTTCCCCCTTGCAGCCGTGACGTCGCTAAACACGGGAAGAGGAGCGAGCTTTCCCCCCTCCTGACTTTTGAGGCTGCAGTGTCTTCACAGGAGTGAGGGATGGGAATCTGGGGGAACCGATCCGGGTTCCGCCCCCTGGGTTGCGCCGGCTGATCCCTCCCACATGACTGGCGGCCCGCGCAGCGTTCCCACGGCACGCATGCCCCACTTCCCCGCAACGCAAGAAGCGACTTGCAAAAGGCCGTCCCATCCACTCGGCGTGCCTTGGTTGCCATGGCGGCAAGGGGGCCGTTGTTCCAAAGGGGCCGGTCTGCACTCGGCCAGAGAAACTCTCCGGATCTCGCCGTGACGGCGAGGGCGCGTCGCTCTCCGCACGGACGCCGCCAGGCCGGCAAAGTGACAAAACGTCCGCGGGCACGGAACAAATTGTCCTGACTGGGACTTTCGCCACAGAGAAAGTTGACAATCTGTTTTCCCTGCCAGTTCGCCGGGCCCTTCGCCGTCTCTTCTCCCACCAGAGATGGTTTTGGAATCCTTTCCTCATTTGGAAACGCCTCGGGGAAGCCCTCCGCAGAACACGGATGACGGGAAAGCTCTCACCACTGCTCGCTTGTGTTTGGAGTTCATTTCCATGGCCGAATCTGACCTTGGGACGTTTTTTTTCCTTTGTTTTCAAAAGCCTTTTCATCAACGCAATGACTCGGACGGAAACCGTACCGTGATAGCTGCAAAATTTTGGAGCGGCCGGCTAACCCGAAGACCGCGTCGATGAATGTCGTTTGCTTTGATCAATTAAGGCGTTGGTTTCGAGCAGGCCCGCCCAAGAGCCGCTTTTTGAGCAACCGACCTCCCGACATCCGATTCGAATCTGAGGATAGCCGATTCCATGTTTTTTTTTTCAGTTTTTTTTTCTTTCCGCTCGGTCAAGCCGTATCTGAATCCGGACATCCGAGAGCAAAACGTAGTGAACCTCGCAGTGACCCAAAACCAAATGAGTGATGCCGCACGAAAGAAAGCTGCGCACGCTTCTTCTTGTTTTTGAATTTGCAGGTGCTGAAATGTCAGCGACGTTTCACACGTTCGGCTCGCCTGCGGAACAACCGCTGGTTGATGATGCGGGAATTGGAACGGGGGCGTCCTGCTGCTTCCCGGCTTTTCTCCACATCCGGATGTCGTAAGATGTGGGCTCCGAAACCGTGCTTTTCGGGAGCCCCTCCGTCAGCGTTTTGCTGTGTAATAACTCCGAGTGCCTGTCAGTATCCCTCCTCGCTCCCCGAGAGCGGAAAGAAGCCGAGGAATGCACAAACCCGATACGCACACGTTTGAATTGCTGGAGGAATTTTTTCTTCTTTTTTTTTTTTCTCCTCACATTCTTCTTGTGGGAGACTCGCTTTGAGTTGAACGGTGAACATCTGGGACCCATTTGAAGAGTCAGTCAGTAACAGAGAGAGAGAGAGAGAGTAAGTGTGGGAACATGAGGGAGGGGGCTGTGCCATGTCCGAATTTTATATATTCGGCCATCTCAAGATTCCGAAGAACCCAGGATTTCACCACGCTTTCTCCTTCCGGCGGAGGCAACATGTGGCTTGACGGCGCATAAGGTCACAAGTTCTACACTGTATGTACACGCAGACGCATAAGCGCTTTTGCGTTCTCGCAACCCCCCCCCCCCCCATCCACTCGGGGTCAAGTAAGTCGGCAAGTAATTTGAGGACCTGGGTGGAAAAAAATGCTCAGGAAATTGACCAGGCAACCGCAGCAACTATTCTTCATTCTGAGCATGACGCTGAGACGGCGCCAAGGCCTGACCAAATCATACAAACACATACAAAAGACACAAACAAACATTGAGTTTTATCGATCATAAAAGGGTGCGTGCGCTATTTTCCAGCGTTCTCCTTACTTCATCCAGTGGTTTGAAAAGGAACATTTGTAAATTTGGAACTGAGAAGAATTGAGTGAAAGCTTCCCAGTGACACGATATCAAATTGGATATCATCCAACTTCTTAAGTTTTTGGAAAACTTGAACTTTGGAGTTCATCCACTACAAAAAAAAAACAAAAACGAGGCAATCGATTGTGAGGCAATTACAGGGTAAAAACAAAAACCAACCCAAAACTCTCTGAAAGACCTCAATCACTGGCATGGAGCCTAGTTTTGAACCTGGGCTTTAAAGTAGCCACACTTGATTCTTGAATTCAGACGTCATTGAGTCCTCTTTTCCTTCAACCAATTTGTGGGGGCAAAGAGAATGGCCGCGTCTTGAAAGCGAGCGAGAAAAGCTGCGAGGGCGTCCAGAGGTGTTGCACAAGGGCTCCGGGGGACCCACCCGGCCCGCTTCCATGGCCGCCCCGGGGGCCAGTGGAACGTTTGCACCCCTGGATACTCATTGAAAGCTGTCCGACCGTACTCTCTGTTAATTCATCCAAGGCACACGATGAAATGACATTCAAGTGTTGTTTGTGCATTTGTAAAGCTGGAGGAAGGAAAACAAACGATGCCTTCAGTGCTCCGGTGCTAACTTGATCGGAATCTTACGAAAGCCCAGCTCATCGAAAACATATGCCTCCTTCCAATTTCCAACAGCACGCATCAGTTCTGCTATGCGTGCGGGCACACGCACACGCACACATTCTCCGTTCTTGTTCGGCGTATCACTGACAAATGCATGTGAGCGGGCCTGCATTCTTTGATGGACTTGATTCATTCCTTGATGCAATCAAACAGAAACATTTGGGTGGACAAAATTCTTCTTTTTGTTTTTTGCCACACCAAAAAAAGATGGAGGCTGGGGGTTTTCCAATTTGAAATACATTTTGCATTTGTGGAGTGGTGTTTGAATTGGTGGAATGAAAACATTGACAGGCATCGGCTAAATGTTCAACATGTAACCACAAATCACGCCGGTACAGTGAATTGTGATTCAAAGTCAACTTCTTTGTTTTTGGGCGAGTGTCTAAATGCAAAAGGAGACTCGTGTCGAGCCAGTTTATTGCCCTCCAGTGGCCATCTGGGGGAACTGCAACCATGCGTCCTGGAAAAAAGACTTGTCCTCAATCCCCGCGTTGTTTCATTGCAACAAAATTCTTGCCTGATTCTTTTGATGTAATTTGAAGAAAACCGAAACAGATCCACCATTTCGGTACACAAACACAGGAGATATGTGTTGCCTTTTTTCTTATTAAGCACAAACAAACATGTATACAGTATGTCCACCGACTTCTGATCGTATTTAAGTGAATATGCTAAGTTATTTTGTCAAGACTTTATGTAGATTTTTTGGGGGTGGTGGTCAAAATAATTATGATTTTTTTTTTTTTATAAAAAAAATGCATTTTGAGAGGCTTCAGCACCCCCACAATGGGCCTAACAATGCCATTGGATGCGACATTTGGATATATTAATAATGCTCCAAATACATCCAACAAATCTCACGACACTGCGATATCTGTGCTCAGTCATCAAAGCGTCACAATCTGCTATCGGTCCGTGCCTACTCCAAAGAGGGCGACCATTCCCCATCAGATCAAGTCGCTATGTGGTGGAAAACCCTTCGGGGCTGCAAATTATTTTCACCGTTCCCACGAGCGTGTCAACCTATCGGGTTGCACGTCACGCATGCAAAAAACCACCGCCGCTTGCGTGCAGTCCGATGGTCACGTTGAGGAGCCTTCCATTTGTGACCGACATGCAGCAGAAAAACAAGACTCAAATGCATCCATCTATATTTATTCCCAAAGATTGCATCCAGGCGTCCGGTCGAAAGAGCTGATGGGAATACATCAATAGTCTGCATGGATCCATTTTAGCATCTATGATGATGAAGGAGAAGGGGGAAAAAAAGCCATCCACATAGCCTGGTTTCTTCCTGTTGCTAGGTAACAGTGAAAGGCTTGGCACGCATAGCAGAGCTTCTGAAGCTGTGGATGGCCCCGGTGTACGTGTGTGTGTGTGTGTGTGTGTGTGTCATGAGAGAGAAACAGCACTGTCTTTCAGCAAGCACAAACTTAGCGATCCTTACCATGACACCTCCCCCGATTCTTTCTCACCAGCTGTGGAAGTCAGAGCGGTGTCGGTGATATTTGGGATGGTCTTTGATATTCTCGAGGTACTACCAAATAAACGTGTCTGGCGAAACGGATTTCAGACGGGAAGCTTGAAGGAAGACCTCTGTGAGAGGGAGAATCCATCTCATATTTGTCAGGAAGAGTGTTCTGGCAACCGGGTCAGGATGTAGCCCGCCGCCTGCCCGAAAGACGGCCGGGACACGTTCCGGCACGACCCCGACCCTCCTGAGGAAAAAGCGGTTCAGAGAATGGATGGAGTGAGATATCATTTCCTATGTTTCTCTTCCTTGAGTCATGAGGGTATTTTGTCCCAATTCCAACTCGAATTTCTTTTGAACAGAACCTCATTTTTAAAGCTCATGAAAATAGGTGCGATGCGAGGACGAGTCTTCGTTTCTATGTGTACGTTTCTTACAAGTCCAAATCTTTCGCTGAACGTGCCCCGCAAATTGTGTTGGCATTTATGTCGATTTTGACGGCGAGTGGTTGGCGTCGAAAGCGCTCAAAGATGGCCGACCTCACATCATGCATGGTGTCTTGACATCAACATCATTCGGCATGAAATCACTTTGAAATAAGCAGCAATATCTGGGGTCATGGAAACCCCAGCGGCTGGAAGCGTTCATTTCAGAAGAGGCCTGGGATTTTTTTTCCTGACGTCACGTCTCCTCTTCGCCGATTGGTTCAATTCGCTGTCTGTTTGTTCAGGTTTACCCCGCCTAAGAAATCAGATAGATTAGACTGGGACCAGACTCAATCGCTGCCGGTACTGCGATGAGTCTGCATTTCTAGGCTGCCGCTCACTAACTGGAAGAAATTCTGATCGCTTCTCAGTCCTTTTCATGATACTTTTGTAGTACCGTTACTAGTGATAATTAATAAAACTACAAAACTAACCTGAGTAAATGTAAATGTTACCTTAATGCGTTACTTAGTAAACCCTACCGTTGCTCCACGGGATGCAAAATAAATACCATCAAATTATACAAAATCATCATGCATACAAACAGAGAGTTGGATTGCTTTCAACAATATGTGTCATACGTATCAAAGCATTTACACAATACAGGGGGATTGTAGAAATTGATAATTTCTTCCGACAAGCTCTCCGTTTTTTTTTTGTTGTTGTTTTTTGCTGTGGATTTGTCTCACCGAGACTGCTACTTACACACCGGATCGTTGCCGAACCAAGCTCCCAATAGTGACTTTCAAAACAAAGGCACATTTGGCGCCTTCGCCTCAGCCTCAATGTGAAATGCATTCCTGATACACGGCCCTTTCTGAACGCCTGCTTCAAATTTCATGACTTTTGAAAAATGATACATTCGTGTCGTTGAAGTAACGACGACGTAACTCGTTGAAGGTCCGCTTTCAGACCGGCTATCAAATAACCGTGGCGGAGCATGCTCGCTTTTATTGTGAAAACCGTGAGCGGACATACTCGTGTTCACGCTAAGTGACGCTCCCTCGTTGCCGCCGGCTGCGAACAGGATGCTGTCAGGCCGAAAGGACGCAGCGACCGAGCGGATGGCGAGCCGAGCCGCATCCTTTGTTTTCCCGGACCCAACATCAAGGTAGGACCCTCCGACGAACGCGATGGCGACGCTAACCTGGCCGTCGGCCTACCGCCTCGTGACAGAAAGCGCTTCGCGCGCGGCACGTGGGACTTCTTAAAATTGCTGCGATGTCGGAAGACAGCCATTGTTCTCCGAACTGTCGTGCAGAGGCGACCGCTCGTTCACGTTCGCTCGCTACGGTGGAGTTTGATCGCGGAGAAGAGAAATAGCCCAAGTGGTGAGCGCGCGAGCTTTTCGCTTGCGGATGAAAGGTGTGCGCGTGCGTCGGCGCGGCGACGCGGCTTGCTTCCAGGCACGGCGGGCACTGTGATGTCGGTGAGGGGGTCGGCGTCGCTTTGCTGCATCACAAGCGCGTGCGCGCGCACGCGCGCGCAGGTATACTTTGTGTTTACGGCCTATCGGCCGCCGCCTAACGGCCGCACGATCGTCACCCGACACGGGTCCGACTGAGCTTCCGGTTTCCGTTTGCGAGCTCAACATCAACGCGGGAGCGCTCGCTTCTTGGATCGGACGAGGTGGCGCGGTCGGTCACCCCCCTCCCAACCCCCCTCCCGGGAATGTGTTTCGCATACCCCGACTAGGCGACTTTGGAGCGACTAAAACAGCAAACAGGCACTGCCAGCTTATTTCACGCCATGAAATCCAGGCTCTTAGCCGTTCGGGTTGGGCATCGTTTGGACAATTCCGCTTTCCGATTTTGGTTGTTCAATTCCTGACCATTCTCGAGTCCGATTCTTAAGAGAGAGAGAAAGGAGGGAGCTAACCATTTTTTGCATCCATAGTCCAATTAACTCCTCTGTCCTTTCCTGAACTTTTGACAGCCAGGCGAGGGCCGAATAAAGAGCCCTATTTTGATTTTGCAAAGTGGTGGTGAGAAAAAAAAGAAGGACCTCGTCATGACACTGACGGCTACAAAATGGGACGCCCTCACCTCCAGGACTGTGTTGAGAAATAAATTCTGTCCATAAAGGTTTTGAACAGAATCGGTGACAAAGGGGCAGTCATGGTGGAATCCGATCATCACTCAAAACTAATTTGACCAAATTGTGACATCGATCACATGGGGACCGAACTTTGGTCAGCCATCCTCCCGAAGCACATCCCAGCAGGACTGCCCAAGGGACACGGTCAAACGCAAAGCACATGCGGACCGGTCGGGCCAACTCCCGTGGACTGTGGAGTCGTCGAGCTGGTCCACTGTTCTGGATCCTCCTGAATCTGAGACTCGACTTCCCGACGAAACCTCCTCCATGGCACCCCTGAACTTAGCGGGGAGGCCGAGGCGTCGTGGGAACACGCTTGCACGGGAAGTGGTTTGGTGCGGGCGTGTTCTTCATTTCAGGGTGCCATGTCGCCGATGGTGGAGCTTTCCAGCGGGGCCCCGGCGCAAAGCCCGCTGACAATGCAGCGCTTCTTCTGTCGCCATTCATGATGACTAACGCTGGATCATTTAGTGCGGGCCAACACACGGTCGGGCCTTTTCCTGCCTCTGATTGGACTTTCGCTGGTTGGCCCGAGGTTGATCTGCTGAAAAGGTGTTGTTTTTTTTTTGCAGCTCGTTCTAAATGAGTAACACTCATATCTGTACTCAAAGCTAGACCACACATCTGAACACGGAATGAATGATGAATCGCATTTGCAATGTAGTCGCGATTTGATTTCTCATCACCAAGGCAGCGATTTGACTGGTATTGAGAGTGGAGGCGGGACGTTCGCAGCAAGCAAAGCTGCAACGCTGGCGCACGCTAGCTTGCGCTGAGCTTTCTGTCTCGCAAGTCTATTGACCGTACTTTTCGCCTGGAAATAAAAACCGAAAGTGTTTTCTGTCGTTTCGGCTGCCATGGCGTGATTGATGAGGCCTCCTCCATTTTCTTCCCTTTTATTTCTCCGCCTTTGCCTCTTTGTCTGCCGCTTTCCTGATCTAACTGACGGTTGGGAGGTTTAGCTCGGGGGATGTGACTGATTTGCGTCAATTGTGGACCCGCGAAGGCTCGAGAGACTCTTGTGATTGAAGGCTGTAGCGATAAGCTTGACGTAGCTCTGCCAGAATCGCATTTCTTGATTCCCCCTTAATCACAAAAAGAGTCCCTTCGGGCTTTCCGTGCCCACGGTGGACAAATCTTCACGATCGTCATCCCCTGAGCTTAGCCCCTAACCCAGGAGGGCAGAGAAAAACTCCCAAACCAACTGCATCTGGACGAAAGAAGGAGAAACCTTGAGAACGGGCCGCAGATGGCGGAATCCCCTTCTGGGAGGACCAGGCCGCAACATTTGACACAATTATGATACAATACAAAGTCCATCCTTAACAAGATGAAAACGCTGCAGGGACACGCCTCCTATTGGATAGGCAGCAAAGTCTGCTCACGGGACACACTGCCGTCCCAATCGAACGCTTTTCATTTTGGGCGATCCTGCCACCTCACACACACACAGAACGCACCCGCGGCACAACACACGCAGCAGCACACACGCAGTGAATGAGTTTGTCGACATGGCATCGAAAGAGTGAAGGTAGCTGACTGACAGCTCTGCGTAGCAGGGCCTCATTCAAACCGGGTTTACTAACTCAGCATGAAACGGGATTTTTAATCAGGGATCGAGATTCTCAATGGTACCAAAAAAAAAAAAAAAATCAAATCGAATGCATGAGTCGCCCACACTCGCTTGGCAGCTCACGATCCGCACCGTGAGCACGAGCTCATCCTCGGGCTTTGTTGAATACGCTGTACGTTGACAGCAATGTTAGATAATAGATTATTACGTAAAGCAGATTTCCTCCGTAGCATCTGTTCCTGATGGTCTGGTCCATACTTGAGTCAAACAGCTGCAGCTCGGATTTAGGCGCGAGTTGTTGTTGTTTTTTTTTGGGGGTTTTTTTGTGAAGCTTGGATGCTCGGAGGTTACGGGTGTAACTCTGGCATAAAAGCAGCTTGCAAAACCACACAATTAGGTGCGTTTGTGACAGGAAAGGCCCATTCTTAATACCGATTCCGAATACTGTCAACAATTCCCTGCCAGCCGTTTTTCTCCCAATTGGGAGAGCCGCTGCCCGCCATTTTGGATCATTTTCAAGGCTGACACGAAATGGAGTTCTCGAGCTGTAGAAGCATATGGAACCGACCAAAGCTTGAACCCTCGTCTTTCACCAGGAACCCCCCCCCCCCAAAAAAAATAACTTTTGACCTTTCTTTAGTAATCAGCAGCTGAAGATGTGGTCGTTTCTTGCAAATACTCGTTCCAAGGAAAAATCTGCGAAAAAGGACACCGCTGGAAGTTGTTGGCATTGTACTTTTTTGGTGGGGGGAGGGGGGCAGTTTGTTTCAGTTGTCGTTATGACCGAGTATTATTCACGTCGCGTTTGTTTCGCATCACTAAGTGGCTGTCTTGCTTAGCTCATGCGGATTGCAGGCACAACCCACTCGGTGCGCCTCCAAGAGCCAAAAGCCTGTAAGAAGATTAGAAGGAATCGGCCGGCGAGTTTGAGCTCGATGGGAGTCGGAGGTGACGTGGCGCTCGGTCTTTTCACTTTTTCACAAGACGCACGGCACTCCGCTGCTTCTTGCCGTCTTTGGCGTCCGAGGCAACACGGATTTGAGAAGCGGCCGCTCCGACGTTCATCGCGTCACGCGGTGGCGACGTTTTCGGTTGGTGCCGGAAGCAGACTCTGGGCGGGATGCTTCACCATCTGGTACTTTCAGGACTTTCCGTCGGACTGTGAACCGTACCGCCGCCGTTCTCGAGCGACGGCGTGGTTTTTTTAAACGACGATAGCGCATCTTGGGCCTCAGCCAGCCCAAATCGCACCACCTGAAGGCGCGCTCCCCAATCCTGTTTCCCGCTTTCAGCTTTTCTGCATCGCTTATCTCGGCGGGTGGGTGGGGGCGGACGTCGTCGACGGGGAACGTATCTGCTTAGGTTGAGATTCCCCGCCCCTCTTGCGCCGCCCGTCGCCGAACCTGTTTCCGTGACGCGGACGTTCATCGTTACGGTTTGGCTGCGGTCGTGTTAGCCCTCGTTGGCTGAAAGCGCGTCTTCCTCAACTGCTGCCTTCAATTTGCGTCGCGAGTTGTTGATAGGAAACCGTCATTGTGACTTGCGAGGGGGAACAATCAAACCCCGGCTGGTTCGTTGAACATGAAGCAGAGACAAAGCTACGGGATGTCATTCGGGAAATCGTCTCTTTTGACTTTTGTATCCCAAAGAAGGTACTGTACGTGCAAAGTTTTGTGTTTAGATATACAGTCAAACCTCGGTTTTCATCCATAATCCATTCCAGAAGGCTGTTCGAAAACCGAATTGTTCGAAAACTGAAACCACGCTCTTTTTAAAATAAAAATGTTTACTGAACACGTCTGCTCACAATGGAAAGCAACACGAGTAAGCGTCACTTCCTCGTGTAAGGAAGTAGAGAGGAGTCAAATGGTGCATTCAAGTGCGCTCAGTTCGTTCGAGAACCGAAATTTGTTCATCATCCGAGCCATAAAAAACTCGAAATTTTTGGTCGAGGCATTAAAAAATCAAAATTTTTGGTCGAAAACCGAATTGGTCGAGAACCGAGACATTCGAAAACCGAGGTTTGACTGTATATCTATAGATATATGTGTGTGTGTGTATACTGTACATCCAGTCATACCTCGGTTTTCGACCAGAATCCGTTCCAGAAGGCTGTTCGAAAAGCGATTTTTGTTCAAAGTCCCAAACTATTTTACTAGCCCATGATTGGGGGCTAATACACGATGCAGAAGTCGCATCAAAACAGTCACATTTGCGTAAATCACAACAAACACGTCTGCTCACAATGAACGCTACACGAGGAAGCGTCACTTCCTCGTGTAAGGAAGCCGAGAGGAGTCAAGTGGCGTATTCGGCGATGCCCACTTTGGTCGAAACGATTTTTTATTTTTTTTTCCGAAAAATATGAAGAATGATTTTCATGGCATCAAACCTCAAAGTGATATCGGTGTCGTCATTCTTCCGAATCGCTTCTCTGGCCACAGTAATACAACGCCGCTGAATCAGGTCTTGGTTTTGCCGTCGCTGATAGCAGACTGTGGGAAAACCTCTTCGTGCAAGTGAGCCTCATGGAAGATCATGTACTCGGGACATCTTCGTCTTTTGTCGCTGAGCGATTGTCAACGTTTGTGTTTTTGACTGCTGCAGGCGCTTCTGAGGAGGAGAAAGCGGCACACGACCAAGTGTGGAAAACCCAAGCGGTCGTCTCAATCCTCAAGCCAAGCTGCGATGCTCTGAAACGTCACAGGTATAGCTCTGCTAAGAACAGGTTGGCTTTTTTACTTCTTCGAACATGACGGCTAACCCGGCCGGCTGTCTGTTTTGTCGCTTTTTGCTCTCGTTTCAGACAGCGAGGAGCGCTGAAGCGAGGGTGTTGACTGACAGAGGGGGGTTACTTTTGCTTGACTCCCCGTCTTCTGGTATTCCTTCAACTCTGTCCGAATACTCCTGCACCGTACCGCGCACAAAGGCACACGTGCGCACGCGCGCGCACTTGAGCCTTGGAGCTTATCCTTGCTTGAATGGATCGGTCGGCCGTACCGCGCACAAAGGCACACGCGCGCACGCGCGCGCACTTGAGCGCATGCGCACGGCATTGCTCGTCTCTTCCGTTGGGCCTTGGAGCTTATCCTTGCTTGAATGGATCGGTCGCCGGCGACTCGCGCCGCCATCGACCGGTAGAGAGCAGTCAACGTACCGCTTGGAGTGTCACGCCGAAGTCTAAAAGCAAAGGTGTGTGTATACTGTACATCCAGTCATACCTCGGTTTTCGACCAGACTCCGTTCCAGAAGGCTTTTCGAAAAGCAATTTGTTCAAAATCCAAAACTATTTTACTAGCCCATGATTGGGGGCTAATACACGATGCAGAAGTCACATCAAAACAGTCACATTTGCGTAAATCACAACAAACACGTCTGCTCACAATGAACGCTACACGAGGAAGCGTCACTTCCTCGTGTAAGGAAGCCGAGAGGAGGCAAGTGGCGTAATCGGCTATGCCCAGTTCGGTCGAAACGATTTTTTATTTTTTTTTTCCGAAAAATACGAAGAATGATTTTCATGGCATCAAACCTCAAAGTGATATCGGTGTCGTCATTCTTCCGAATCGCTTCTCTGGCCACAGTAATACAACGCCGCTGAATCAGGTCTTGGTTTTGCCGTCGCTGATAGCAGACTGTGGGAAAACCTCTTCGTGCAAGTGAGCCTCATGGAAGATCATGTACTCGGGACATCTTCGTCTTTTGTCGCTGAGCGATTGTCAACGTTTGTGTTTTTGACTGCTGCAGGCGCTTCTGAGGAGGAGAAAGCGGCACACGACCAAGTGTGGAAAACCCAAGCGGTCGTCTCAATCCTCAAGCCAAGCTGCGATGCTCTGAAACGTCACAGGTATAGCTCTGCTAAGAACAGGTTGGCTTTTTTACTTCTTCGAACATGACGGCTAACCCGGCCGGCTGTCTGTTTTGTCGCTTTTTGCTCTCGTTTCAGACAGCGAGGAGCGCTGAAGCGAGGGAGTTGACTGACAGAGGGGGGTTACTTTTGCTTGACTCCCCGTCTTCTGGTATTCCTTCAACTCTGTCCGAATACTCCTGCGCCGTACCGCGCACAAAGGCACACGCGCGCACGCGCGCGCACTTGAGCGCATGCGCACGGCATTGCTCGTCTCTTCCGTTGGGCCTTGGAGCTTATCCTTGCTTGAATGGATCGGTCGCCGGCGACTCGCGCCGCCATCGACCGGTAGAGAGCAGTCAACGTACCGCTTGGAGTGTCACGCCGAAGTCTAAAAGCAAAGATTCCTCTTTGGGCACTTGAGAAAAGATTTGTCCGCGGTCGGGTTGGAGTCTCGGCGGCTCCTCGAGGCGTCGGTGAGGGGAGGGGCCTTGCCGGCTCTCTTTTCCACTTAGTGTCTTCATGTTTTGGGGGTCCTTCAGTGCCCCTGCCCTCTGTCAGTCCCCCCGCTCCCGCCGCCACCACGGCCGGCCACCCCAGCCGCTTCGTTGCCATGCCAACAGAGACCCTGTCTCCAGCTCTGCCAGATAGCAAAGCCGCTGGCGCCGCGACACCTTTCGGCTCCACCGTCCCCCTCCGAATCCTGAACAAGGGCCCGGACTACTTCCGGAGACAGGTACTGCTTCTTCACTCGGTGCAGCGCTCACTCAAACTTGACTGAAATCGCAACCTGATGGATTCATAAATTCATGAAACATCCTGCGGTCGGCATTTTTTTGTTGTTGTGGCGGGATTTTTTTTTTTCTTCCCGTTCCTGGCTGGTTCTTTGAGTCGTTTCACCCCATCAAGTCGTCTCCTTCTGGAAAAGAGATCAAAGCGCGTGTCCAGTCAGGATCATTAGCGGACAGTCACTCAGCCGCCGTGTCGCTATCGTATCAAAAGTGAAAAAGTTGTATCGGGACAACAGCCCCCGGTCGCGTTGCGGCGATCGTAGTCATTCGGCGGCGCAGACGGTTGGTTCGTTTACGACGCGCGGCAATGACGCGGCGCCCACGTCTCCATGAAAGGGCGAGATGGAAAAGCCTTGCCGATTCTAGTTGCATTGTGCGAGGAACTCCTCGAGCGAGGAAGCGATGGTTGTTTTTGCCCTTGCTCGCCGTTGACGTGGCACGTATCGGTTTCAGGTTGAACCCAACCCGAAGCGGCTCAGCGCCGTCGAGAGACTCGAAGCCGACAAAGCAAAGTATGTGAAGAGCCAAGAGGTGATCAACGCAAAACAGGAACCAATCAAACCCCCCGTTCTGGCCAAGCCCGCGACCGTTCACAGCCTTCAATCCAAGAGGACCTCCGGCGGAGTCCCTTTCAAAGCTTCCAATAACAACGCCAAGTCGGACACCTGCGCGCCGAGTAGCGCCGGCAGCAAACGGGAGAATTTAAACCTGGAGATCCTCAAAAATCTCCTCAACTCGTCGTCGTCTTCGGGCACGGGCTCCGAAGGACTTGGAGGCGGAGCCAAGAGTGCTGCCTGGATGAGGTCATCTGGGGGACTGACCAGGAGTTGGACGCCTTCCAGGTAAAAAGGGCAGTCGGCGCTACGCTTTTGGCTTGTCGGTTTTCCTGGCTCACATTGAATCAGAGGTGGCGCCGTTTCTGCGCCCCCAACACCGGGGGCAATGTTGACCAAAGGATTGTTCATTCGGAGATTCAAGTCAAAACGTGTACTCCTGCCATCTTTGTCTCAAATATATATAAATATGTATATAATATATATATTATAATAATATCTATCTATCGATCTATTGATCGATAGATAGATCTATATATAGATAGATAGATAGATAGATATAGATATCTATCAAAATAAAAGTAGAAATAGCGTTGACCTATTTTCAACAACACGAAAATTCCCAAAGGTCCTTCACCTTTGGCGGCTTTTGATGTCCGGCTTTCGGCTTGCACTTGATGCAACTCATTGAAGCCAATCGATTGCATTGGATCGATTGGAAGTGTGATGCCTGACGGCAGCCGCCGGGTGATCTTGAGAATGAATGTCGTCGTCTTTGCCGCTCTTCAACCGAATGCGCCCAAACGGTTTCAGAATGCTGCGACCCGTCAAAGGAGTTCATCCGGGGCCAAGTCAATGTCCAAACGTAAAGCCTCGCCGAGAACTGAAAGTAGGAACTCCCGCAAAACCAACAAGAGCCGAAAGCGTCCGACGATAATCCATCACGGTTTTGCGAAGCGCGGATGTGCGAACGCGCCCGGTCGGATTCGGGCGTTTGCCTCTCGTCCTTTTGACATGTAACCCTTCCGTTTCCCCGCCGAACGTGGTCCTCCCTTGTCTTTTTCACTCGAATGCGCCCGGTCCAAAGCCCAACGGCGTCGGATTCGGGCGTTTGCCTCTCATCCTTTTGACATGTAACCCTTCTGTTTCTCCGCCGAACGTGGTCCTCCCTTGTCTTTTTCACTCGTGTGTGTGTGTGTGTGTGTGTGTGTGTCTATTTGTCTCGCTCTCCTAGCACCGCGGTC